AGCAGTACTGAGTTCCAATACCGCTCGGTACCGAGTAGTACCGAGCAATACCGAGTTACAGTACCGAGTGGTACCGAGTTCCAATACCGAGTAGTACCGAGTTCCAATACCGACCAGTATTGAGTTCCAATACCGCTCGGTACCGAGTAGTACCGAGCAATACCAAGTTACAGTACCGAGCAGTACTGAGTTCCAATACCGAGCGGTACTGAGTTCCAATACCGCTCGGTATCGAGCAGTATCGAGCAATACTGAGTTCCAGTACCGTTCGGTACCAAGCGATATCGAGCGGCTCGATACCGAGCCTATGATTAAGAAAACGAACCTTCACTGCTCACGTCGCATTCACTATTCGCGTTGTCGAGCCGCTCCGTCGACAAAGGATGATCATATCGACTTTAATGCTCGCGTCGTCAAGCCTCTTTGTCGACAAAGGATGATCCTGTTTGCTTCTATGCTCGCGTCATCGAGCCGCTCCTTCAACTATAACGAAGAAAATGAACACTTGTGTGGAAACGAAAAACCTAGCTCTTTGAAGTTTCAGCCGCATAAATGAATATGGATATTGAGCGGAAACGGTGGAAAGCCGAAAAGAATAGGGTAAATTGCGGCTCCGTGTTTTTTTTTAATAGGACACGCGTATCCGATACGCGTGTCCAGTAAAATTTAAATAGTAATAGGACACGCGTATCCGATACGCGTGTCCAGTAAAATTTAAATAGTATTTTAATTGGATACGGCAAAGCCGTATCCGACACGTATCTGTGCCGTATCGGAGGCATATCCGTATCTGACACGTGTCCGATACAGCACGCCTCGTAAATAGGAGTATCCGTGCAACATAGACCAGAGATAAATACTGAGAACATATAGAAAGGTGAAACTATGCTTCAAATGGAATAAAGAGATAAATTCATTGTAACAGAAAGAAGTACATCGACAAAATTCATGATAAATTCATCAATTGCTCTTACATAGGCTAAAACCTCTTCCTCTTCATCAGCATTCCTAGCTCGCTGATTGGACATAAAAATGGAGCATAGCAAAGGTACTACATCCCTGTAAATTACTTTACTTGCAGATGCTGTTTGCTGATTCACCAAAACACGGGCCGTCGCAAGCCGCAGTCTGTAGAACAATAAAACGTAAAGTTATTAATTCGGAAAAGTGTGCTTTACACAAATGTTTTATGTTGTACATTTATATTCACCAGGTAAAAAAGAAATAAAACTCGGCAAAAAAAAAATTTCCCAGCCAGATAAAAAGCTAAAATCACAGACAAAATCCAAGGCATGCAAAAATGAATGTAAAGTTTAGGGTTAAGTTGAATATTGCGATAGAATTCTACATTAATATTAGTGCTGCACAATGTAAAAACGGATTATTGGAGAAGTAAAGATGCATACAAAAACACCGATTTTCATGAAAGTTAATTGCAGTGTTCTACAATAATTCCCACGCACCCAAACACAGATAGTATTAATGCTTCACAATTGCAGTTAGTAAGCCCTAATTATCTGGCCAAGCATATAGACGTAAATGAACCACAGATAACCCACCAAATACAAAAAGATAATGGGTAAAAAGATAACGGCTTATTCTACATATAATGATTAGCTTAAGAAGATGGGAAAACAGCATAATTTGAGAGAATATTCAAATATGTTCAGTGTTCTACCTCAACAAAGTATCTGAGTGGAGTTAAACTAATTAAAGCCAAATGCCACCTCGTCTGCTTGATCATCCTTGTGATCTGTTCCAAACTCACTCACCCGCACCATGTGACCCACCCTTCCTATACGCCTAGATGCCTGCATTGCACTTGCTTGCCTGCAAACCCATCCTGCAACCTGCTCACCGTCTGCGCCCCTTCAGTAGCCTTTCACCCACCTGTCCATAGCTTCTCATCCAAAAATCCCCTCTTGCTTGATCTCCTGCACCAAGTGCCAATTCACAAATCACACTCTCAATGCCCACTTCAAACATCAGGGATTGGCAAACGTGATCTCACAACCACACCATTTACCCTATGGTTTGTTTAAATCTTCACTTTTCTTATCTTTCTCTTGTGTGTATTTTCCCATTGGCCTCATCCACTGATTTTTCCTGAAATGATACCATTATCCACAATTTGTACATCTATTAAATTCAACCGCATCAACTATCTTATGTGGTCTAAGGCTTATGTAGTCTAAGGCTTTTAGTTTTTTCATGGGATGTCGGGAGTAATTCAATCATCTAGACTCTTCACCTCCTGAACAAATGGACACCATCAAATATATCAAATGATAAACCTCTAACTATATTGTTTCCATATGGATGCTTAACAGTCATCGTTCATGTTTCAAGAGACAGCCAAAGAAATGTCTATTCCACCTATTTTCAGGATAACATCTCTCAAGCATACACTACACTGACCAATTCTTTCTGCAACATGATGAAAATTCTATTAAGGAGTAAAAAAAGAAATTGAAAATAAAATGGGATGAAATTATTTTCTATCAGCCCTTCATCATAGACCCAACTACATGCTTAAGAAAAAAAGAGTTCAATATTGCTAAGTTCCTCTTTAGACTTCATTCCTCTCTAGATGGCATATTCTATTTTCCCCAACAGCTTCACTACTCTATACTCTATTCCTAATTCTCCAATGGACCGTATGGTTTGCTTACAAAGAAACAGAGTAAAAGATATGCGTAAAATAAATGCAACATATTTAAAATTTTTTATTTATTTGGTTAAGTGTAAAATAAATATAGATCAATTTTTTATGTTTGGTTTGAAATAAAATGAATCCAACGTAAATCATGACATCGACAACAAGCAAAGGTAGCGGGCGACTGATGTCAAGTGGTGGTTGTGACCATTGATGGAGCACCAACGGCAACAAACGACGTCTAATAGTGCTTGGTAACCTCAAGCTACAGCTGGCACTACAAACAATTGAGAATGATGAGTAAACAAATGGTCACTATAGACAAGCTAGCGACAATGATAATATGCAAATATTCACTCGCACAATGTATTTGAAATTCGGTCCAATCAAACAAATTTCAAATACATTGAAAATAAATTAAAGGGTGAATTTCAACTACATATATAGATTACTTAGTATTCTTTTTCCAGCTAACCAAACAACTAAAACGGATAACAGGTTGGGTTTGGATCTGACCCGAAATTGATCTGATATGAATCCAGTAAAATCAAATGACTCATTTAATGAACAGGTTAAAAGGCGGACTCAAATTTGACCTATGGAAACTTGGAATACCCGAATGCAACCAAATAACATGTTTTCATTTAAAAAAAAAAATTATATATTGTCAACTATAGAGTTTAAGTTAATTGATAAAAAAAATAAAAAGAGCATATCAACAAACAAATGAGTTTAAAGGAAAAAAAAAATAAATGGGTCACTTCCAGGTAAAAATATCAAAATCGGGTTCGTAAGTCAAGCCAAACCTAACCTGCTCATTAAACATATCAAAATTTTGGTCCCGAACCTGAATTTTGAATATGGTCTAAGTCGGGTCATTTATTGACACCACTATACTAATGTTTAGATGTTGAGGAGTCAATCAGAAGCCTTCTTGGAATTCAAATTATTTTATATAAAAAAAAATTTCTCATTCAACTTAAAATTATTCTCCCTAACAATGCTCTCTTGAATATATGCAATATTCATTTGCTCATGAGCTAAAAATAGTATTATTCATCAATCATCATGTCAATAAATATCTCAACAAAATAAGATGATTGGCAAAAAATACTAACATCTTGATATTACTCTCACCTTAATATTAGTTGCCTAGGATGTGATAAACTCCCACATCAATCCATTTGATGCATCTTTTTGGGTTATTTTCACACTCAAAAGTATTATTAGTGTTGCAATCCATTCAAATGTTAATTATCTGTCTTTCTACATGTTATCTTTCATAAAGTATCTCCTCTCACACTTCTCCTACCAATGCTCACATGTTCGCTCCCTTACAAGCTCGAGCTAGATTCGTTGTACAAAAAAGCAACACGAATGCTAGTTGAGCCCATAGAATGAGCTTGAGTTTGGCTCATCCATTCCTTATCAGTCTCGAGAGCTCGACTCAAGATAAAGTCGTGTCGGGAGCTTTGCTTTGCTATAGGATGTCGTGGCGGAAGTTGCAATCAGTGTCATTGTTTTGGAAAAAAAAGGTAGCATCATCAAAGCTCGTATATGAGACAAAATGATGGAATGACAAAGTAAAACATTATAATAAATTAAGAGAAATGATGTGCGATTATTTTTTCTTATGGAGAAAGCAATATAGTTTTTTTTTTATATCTGTATAAACTGTTGTTGCTTTCAATGTGATATCTTTATTTTAATATATAAAGATTTTATACCAAATTTTATTTAATTGAGATTCTGAATATTAATTTATTCAAGTCGGCTCGCAAATAGACGAGCAAAGTTTTGTCGAGTTTGAACTCAAGCTTGAGCTCGAGCACGAGCTCATTGCTTGATAAGCTCATTAGCAAGTCAAGCCGACTTATGAGCTACCTCTACTCATTTACACCCCAATTTTATGAAGCACCTCTCCGTACCACATCTCAGATGACTAACCATTTGACTAAAACTGTGCCTTCAAATCTAGATTTAATTGACGGACAAAAAGGAAAGCACCAATATCTTGATCATCCACTACACTCTTTCATAATGTTTAATCAATTATTATTTTCCTTTCATTAGTTTGACTTTTCATTCTCTGCTATTGGTGTTCTCATGACACATTAAAAGGCTTAGCTCAACTCTAAAACGAAATATGCAACCTACACTAAAATTGGTGCTCTAATTGATCACCATACATGGGGTTTGGTTGTAACCCTTCCTTGGGTTGCACCCATTTCACGTGTTAGGTTAAGTTTCATCCTTATCGCTCTAGTTAATGCTACAAGGCTTGATTATTGGAAAAAATATATACAATTCCATGAAAAGCTACTTTGAGACTCTTTTGTTGATCGACTCAATCATATTCATCTTCTTCTCTATGTTGTCATTAACCAAGGATGGACTATCCTACAAATGTATGTCAGCAATGTATTTCTCAATGGGTATCTCATTGAAGCTATTTACATGGAGCAATGGTAGGATAGTTGAATTTGGCCTAGCAATACTCTGAAGGATGATTAGTATGCCATAATGAGTGCAAGAGGAAATTAATTCCCCCACAACCACGATCACTATTAGTCCGACCACCATGACCACAACCACTATGATCACCACGATGAGTCATAGTAAGAGCAAGTTAGTCGAAAATAAGAGAAGGGGGATACAAAAGTTCAATAACCGAAGGATTAGCTTTAAGCTCATATTTTTTTGCATTAGGCGTGGATGTTCTTACTAAACATTTACAAGAGGATGTACCCTAATGCATAGGGGTGTCAATTTCGAGTCACGGGTCGGGTTCGGGTCGAACCCGAAACTGACCCAGGTCCAAACAGGTCATAAATTTGAACCCGGACCCGACCCGGCGGGTTGCCAGGTTGACCCGACCCGACTCGGGAAGGAGAACAGCGCGGACCCGGGCGCGGTCGAGAGCGGACGTAGAACAGGCTGGCTAGCGCGGCAATTTTCGAGTTGACCCGACAACCCACCGAGTCAACCCGAACCCGACCCGTTTTTTCAAACGGGTCGAATATGTGAACCCGAACCCGACCCATTTTCAAACGGGTCGGGTCCAACCCGGATTTTCTAGGTCGGGTCAGGTCCAACCCGGATTTTCTGGGTCGGGTCCGGGTCAGATTTTCGTGTCGTGTCAAATATTGACACCCCTACTAATGTATGCTTTCTTGCTTATGATATTCTTCTTGTTGATAAGACTAGAGAGGGAGTTGAAGGAAAACTTGAATTATGAATGTCAATCTTAAAGTCTAAATGTTTTCGTTTGAGTAGATCTAAAATAGAATACATGAAGCATAATTTTAATAGTATTATATCTAGTGAGAAGATTGTGACTTTTGACATAGGAGTACACTTAATCCTCTCTTTCATCGGGGCTGATGAATCCTTTTTCCTACACATTTATCAACTCTCTTTCATCGGGTTCTATTTGGGATATAAACCAGCTTTGAGGTTGTTGGCACCTTCAAACTGACCTTTTCAGAGGGACCTAAGCTTTAGAATCACTTTCAATGGGAAGGAAACTGACAACGAGCTATCTGACAAATGTCCCACAGTCAAGCTAGCCCATTTTTCAAGTGAACAGTAGGAAGAAAACAATTAGGACAAAAAAAAATCATACATTAAGGAAATAAAACCCATCCTAATTAAGGCTAAGCTACACATATTTAAGTCCATGTAATCTCTGCAATTCTGTTTAATACTTAGCCTCGCATCATCTTTTTTAAAGAACAAAAAAAACCTCAGCAGCTGTAAGTCATCTGATCATTGTAGAACCAAACAAAACAATTGCAACTATATTTCATGTCGTCAAAGTTTAGAAGGAAGAAATAGTAAAGAGGTTGTTATGCATACAAAATTAACCTGTTCAGACTATCTTTCTCAACAAGGTTCACAAGCAAGCCCAGAATAGCAACGAGAAAATCTAATTCATGATCATGTAGCTTTCTGTCATTAATGAGTCCAGAAACGTTGCTTCTGTTGAAGGACGTCATACTCTCTTCAATTTCAGTGTTAATAGGTAGACAAGAATCAAATGATGGGAAATGACTAGCAATCAAGGAGGCCAAAGTGTCCAGTCCTCCACAGGCACCAATTTGTTGACAACCAACAGGGTTATCATTTGTTAAGTTCATAAGAACCTGCGAACAAGGGATCAAATCATATTTCTTGACTCCTGACGCAAATAAAACGATAGGCTGAACCAAATAAGCTTTTGAGAGTTGGAATTATACAGAGCTATACAATCAAAAGCAGAATCAGCAGAATTATGCAAACATAAATTACATTGGAAATCCGCTTTCTTTTAATACAAAAACTTTAGGGACAAGGAGAGATTTGAATAAAAGAATCGAAGTGCAATAATAGTTTCAATATTATACTAAATTAAGCAATATACCATCATAAATCAGTCAAGAACAGCAGAATAAATTGAAAAGGTTAAAGGGGATTTATTTTAGCCTACAAGTGAAACAGAATTGCTGTATGTTTTATTAGGAAACCCAAAAAAAAAAGATCTTCAGATCTGACATAAAGTAACTCAAATAACTTAAATGACTGAACATATTTTTATGTCCTAAGGACAGACATCATTAGTAAGAAAAAAGGACTTAATTAGTCTCCTAACTTTTTCTAGATGATCAAAATAATCCTCACTATATAAAGTATCAATTTCGTCCCTTGACTCTTTAAATAGAGTATAAACTATAGACCTTCCGTAGGATCATTTAGGTCCCCATTTAAAAAGTAAAGAAACTAAAATGGAATTTTTAAATATCATATGGGTCTTTCGTAAAAAAAGTCAGACGATTATTTTGATCATTATCTCTAATTAGAAAATTGTTTAACCAAAATCCAACCAAGATATTTGCAAATAGATAAGACTACATGGCTCTGTCTAGAATCGCCAATAGAGACTCCAACCTTTTTTCTTTAAACCATCAAGATGGCTGCTACCTAAATGTTGGCCAGCTTAGCTGGCAGTTAGATAGTAGTTATCTTCGGCAACCTAGAATCTGAATAGCTGCAACCTGAAGATAACGGACCCAAAACCTACATTTGTTATTCAAAGTCCAAGATATATTTTTTTTTCTGGTTTTCAAGTCTATCTACACTGTATATCAAACAAGTGTCATCAAAATATGGAAAATTAAAACATATTCGGAGAGCTAAAATGAAGGCCAAAATCACTGAATAAGAGTAGGTCGATAAAATATATTATATTTATGTTTCTTCCCAAAGAACCCGTAAAGAAATTTAAAGAATATAAAATAACCTTCACAGAAGTAAGAAGACAGTCATCCAGAAGACTAGGATCCTTTTCATCTACTGATGGAAAAGAATTATCACTGAATTGTCGGCTGACTTCAGTAATTGGCTGACTTGATTCATCCTCAATAACTATAACCGGAATCTCAGATCCATTGGCATATTCTTTATCTGAAAAAGCTTGTTTTCTAGATTGAGTTTCTCCTCTTTTGGAAGAAAATTGTTCCCACTTCGATGGACCTGTGTTATCTTCATCAAATGCAAATGGATCTTCGTGGTCACTCATACAGTCACCTTTTACACTGTTAGTGATTTGAATTCTCTTGGATTGCTCATGGGAGCTTCCTTTGGAATCAACTGACCTTATGGAAATCAAGCCACTAGGTCTTTGAGAATTTGCATGTACCTTTACTTTCAAATCAATTGTACTTCTGCAGCTTACTCCCTTTGAACAGTCTAATGTTGTATTATATGAAGTAGATGCAGAGCAATCAGTTCTATCAGTTGCAGATAAAACATCACAACCAAATGTAGACACTTCCAGCTTTGAAGTAGACAGTTTATGACGTTTATGGCACACTTCCATCTTCTCCAAATGAGAATTCTTAGTGCCACAATAAGAAGTTGAAGGATAATCCTGCACATCTAGAAAAGAGAGAGAGAGAGAGAGGGAGAGGGAGAGAGAGAAGAAAGTGATATTAAACAACATAATGCAAGAAATTTTAGTTAGTATGATACAATATGCCCTAGGAGAAAAAATATATACTTCTACGGTAAAAAGTTCAATATTACAGTACGCATATGGAAACTATCATTAAGAACATGAGAATGAGGCCAAAAATTGGCCATATTTAAGTTGGCTCAAGCACCACGGGTTCAATACTCTGGCTATTTCAGACTTCAATCCTGCTGCTACCTTCTCCCCAGCCCCATTATCCTGTCATCAAGATCTAAGCCAATCCCTACCTATTTATTCATGGTCCTAAATGCTTCTTGTCCAAAGTTTTATGCATAAATTTAAAAATCAAAAGAAATTATGCAATGTAGGATGTCAGTAAATAAGGTCCTACTAAGTGATAAGTCAAGTTTTTTTTTAAAAAAAAAGAGTTACAAATCAACAAATCCATAAACCCATGCCTGCAAACATACATGGCCTAATAATTATTAAGAAAAATGTCAGACTGGACTCAACTTTTTCTAATTCCAGCCAGAAAATAAATCACCTAGGCTTTCCTTTCGGAACCTAGCCAAAAAACATTTAATCAGGCCCATGCAGATCTAAGTTGTGGCTGAGCAAGCTAGTTCAGTCAGGTGGCCTGTTCAATTGTCAGGTCAAAACCCACATAACACCTAAGATAAACAAGCCCAAGCCTCTCAATGTAAAAGTATGTATATACACTTTAAAGAATTGCAGAAATGTTTAGTTGATCCATACCATGAGGTACGTGTGGCTAATATTATCTGAAATATCACGAACTAGCATCATCAGTGGTTCATCCTACGCATATAAAACAGGAAGCAAAAAGCTCATGACAAGGCTTCTAAAATGGAGAGTGCTTGGTAAAGAATCATTAGAAGTGTAATTTAGGAGCTAAGCAAAGCAACGCACTAGCTCTATCCATTTCTTGCCCATGAAACGCAAGCTCGCCACAAAGCGCAAGTGTCATGCCATTTTTGTACATTGCGTTGTAGTGATGTGTACCTGGTTCTAGTTTAGAACAAAAGCCAAGTTCAAATTTTATGATTTAGTTCAACATCTGCCTCAATAACTAAAAGCATGAATATTCGTTTCTCCATACTAGCTCTCAAAATCATTGAGTTATCACTTGCTGATTTGGTACTCAAATGTAGGGCTATAATAAGCTCATGTTCACAGCCCTATATATATATATATATGGTTGAAAATACACAATTTCTAATGCAAACTTTGCTGCGATACAAGAGGACAAAAAAAAAATAAAATATGCAACTTGCTAACTCATAATTTCAGCAAAAATGCATCACTTTTGATGTAAGAACAACAAATACAAATTATTCATTCCAAAAGTTACTTTAACAATCACCCAAAATCTAAAATCCCACAAGAAAATTAATGACACACATAAATTTCAAAAACCAAAATAGTTCACCCCTAAAAAAGAAAATCTAGCACATACCTCACTTGATAAAGTTTCAATCACAAACACAAAGCATAGACTAAAAATATATAAATAAAACAATGATACAAAATCACCAAAAAAGAAAGAATCAGACCTCCTCCTAAAAGGACTCATCTGCATCAGTGAATCACCCAAAGAAAACATTTCCAATAAGCACATACAAGAAGAGAGAAAAATGTGAATTTGTATTTTAATATTCAAAATCAATGAATTTTACATGCCTAAGGGTTCTATTTATAGACTTCAATAGACTCACAATAAATAAATAAATAAAAAGTAAAATAGCCCCTGGCTCTTTACAAAAGACTAAAATGATCCCTGACTAACTAAAAGTCTCATTTAGTTCCTCGATTTTTTAAATGGGATAGGTAAAGAGTCAAAAGACCAAATCGATAATTTTTTATAGTTGAAAATTATTTTGGTACTTCAAAAAAAAAATTAGGTGACCAATTCGTTCATTTTCTCAAATAAAAAAAACTACATAAATTATGCAGATATCTAAAAAAAAGCAAATTTTAGTTGTCCAATATGAATTCCAACAATATAAATTCCATTTTCAAAATTGCTTGAGAATGCGAACAAAAATAAGATATTTTCCAAAAACATTGAGTGATAGAAGACCCGAGCCTAAGATTGAAGATGGAATAGCATGAGAGATTAAAGCAAAAGTGTATTAGCAAGGAAGGCACGAGTGGATCTCAGCAATCAATAAGGCAACTGAAGTAGCTGACAACAATTGGAGCACAACAACAAAAACAAGTGAAGTGATTATTCGAAATCAAGTAGTTCATAGCCCAAATCAGAAGAAAACAGCAACCAAACTGCTGTTTACAGCAGGAAAACAGCAGTCAACAGAGGAAAAACAGGGAAAACAGAGAGAAAACTTGAGAGAAATCGCACCAAAAGAGTTGATATTAATAGTAGATGCAAGAAAAACAACAAAGATACAAGAGATCCCTATTCGAGAGGAGGATCACACTCTCCCAATCTCTAGAAAACAATCTAGAGCCCTAGCCACAAGAGAAACCCAAGAGAACTTTCAGAAAATTTCACATAACCCTAACCCTAGCTTTTCCCCACTTAATGCATGAAATTCAAAATTAATACAAAATGACCTGATTGCCCTTGCCACACCCCTTTTGGCTCCAAGATTGAATTTGAATATCAAGTGGACCCCACCCCCTCCTCTCTCCTAGGTGCCGCCGGCCCCCTTCTGCTGTAAACAAATTAAACCGGCCCACGGGACTGGGCCGGCTGGACCGGTCCATAGTGGACCAGTCTAACATTACCGCCCTCCCAAAGAATCACCTTGTCCTCAAGGTGGAAGTCAGGAAATTGTCGTTTCTTCCGCTCGTATGGCTCCCACGTGGCCTCGAAGTCAGGGAGGTTCTTCCATTTGATCAGAACTTCTGTAGCTCCATCTGCTTTCTGATGAACCTCCATAAGCTCCAAAGGTTCCAATATCATTTCCATCTCAATAGTTAATGTCCCTGGTAACACCGAACTGTTAGCATAATCTCTAATGGCTCGCCTCAGCTGGGATATATGGAAAACGGGGTGCATCGTCGCCATAGGTGGTAGCTTCAAACGATATGCCACGGCTCCAATTTTCTCCAACACTTCATAAGGACCAAAGTACATTGGAGCCAACTTCTCATTCCTACGGTTGGTGACCGTTTTCTGTCGATATGGACAGAGTTTCAAAAACACCCTCTCGCCCACTTCAAACTGAATATCCTTCCTATGCCCATCAGCTTGTTTCTTCATAATCTGTTGAGCTCTCAACAGATGTCTTTTTAACTCTTCAAGTATTTTATCCCTCTCCTTCAAATACTCCTCTACTGAAGAAACTGGAGTACTGTTACTCCCAAAATGCACCAAATGGGGCGGATCCCTTCCGTACAACATCTTGAACGGGGTCATCTGAGAAGCTGAATGAAAGGAGGTATTGTACCAATACTTGGCCCATGATAGCCATTTAGCCCATAGCTTGGGTGTCTCTGATGCAAAGCATCTCAGATAAATCTCCAAGCTCCGGTTGACTACCTCTGTTTGACCATCCGTCTGTGGGTGGTAAGCAATACTCCTTTTCAGCACAGTCCCCTGCAGTCAGAACAATTCTTTCCAGAAATGACTGAGGAACACTTTATCTCTCAGTCTGATACTATCACTTCTGGTACCCCGTGTAATCTAACTATCTCTTTAATGAATGTTGATGCTACTGTCACCGTAGTGTATGGATGGCGTAAAGGAATGAAGTGAGCATATTTGCTTAATCTATCCACCACCACCAAAATCACAGTGAATCCCTCAGAGCGGGGTAGCCCATCAATGAAGTTCATAGATACCTCCACCCAGACTCGACCTGGTAAAGCCAATGGCTGCAGTAACCCCCCTGGTGACATAGCTTGATACTTATTCCTTTGGCAAACCTCGCACTTAGATACCATCTCTTCCACATCCTTATGCATACCTTTCCAGTACACCTCTGCCACGAGTCTCCTGTAGGTCTTTAGCACTCCTGAATGACCTCCCACTACAGTCCCATGGAACTCCTGGAGCAAATGTGGAATGTGAATTGATGTTCTGGGCAACACAAACCTCCCCTGGTACAACAATTTCTCCCCCTCCAATGAGCACCCTAGATGGCTACCCTCTTCCTTTAGTAAGTCAGCCCTGATCTTGCCTAGTTCCTCATCGCTGACACTCTCCTCCTTGATGGCTTCCCAATCTAGCATCATTGGGACTGATACAGCCATTGTCTGCAGCTCCCCCATGCACCTGGACAAGGCATCTTCTGCCTTAATTTCTACCCCTGGCCTGTACTGAATCTCAAAATCATATCCTAGCAGTTTGGATAGTCACCTCTGATGCTCATTTGTCACCATGTGTTATTCCAGCAAATATTTCAGGCTCCGTTAGTCGATCCTGATGATGAAATGTCTCCTGAGTAAGTTGGGACGCCACTTTTGGATGGCCAAAACAATTGCCATTAATTCCCTCTCATAGACAGATTTCAGCCGGGCTCTGGCAGTCAACACCTGACTGAAATAGGCCATGGGCCTGTGGTTCTGCATCAGCACTGCTCCTAATCCATACCCCGATGCATCTGTCTCTACTATGAAGACTTGAGTAAAATCCGGCAAAGCTAAGACCGGGACTGTGGTCATAGCTTTCTTCAACTTCTCGAAAGTTATCGTGGCTGCTTCCCCCCATAGGAACCCATCTTTCTTCAACTGCCCAGTGAGTGGCCATGCTATAGTGTTGTATCCCTACACAAATCTTCTGTAGTATCCTATAAGCCCTAGGAATCCCCTCAACTCCTTCAGATTTTTAGGCAATGGTCACTTTAATGGCTTCAATCTTGGACTGATCTGCTGCTACCCCTTCCTTGGATACCACGTGCCCCAAGTACTCTACACTGGCTTGTGCGAAGAAGCACTTCTTCAAGTTAGCCCTCAACTGGTGCTCCTGTAGATCCTCTAGCACCTTCTTCAAATGCTCCCAATGCTCCTCCGTTCTACTATACACTAGGATGTCATCGAAGAACCAAAACAAATCGTTTGAGATACTATTTGAAGATCTTAATCATGAGTGCCTGAAACGTGGCTAGGGCATTGGTGAGGCCAAAGGGCATCACTAGGAACTCATAGTGGCCCTCATGGGTTCTAAAAGCGGTCTTGGGTACATCGTCTTTCTTCATTCGAATCTGATGATATCCTGATTTCAAGTCGATCTTGCTGAAGATCACTCTCCCACTCAATTCATCTAACAGCTCGTCAATCACTGGTATAGGAAACTTATCAGGTACAGTTTCCTTATTGAGTACGCCGTAGTCTACACAGAACCGCCAGCTGCCATCCTTCTTCTTCACCAATAGAACATGACTAGAGAACGGGCTAGTGCTGGGCCCGATGATCCCTTCTTCCAGCATTTCTCTGATCAGCTTTTCTATTTCGTCTTTCTGAAACTGAGGGTAACGGTAAGGTTGTACACTGACAGGTGACACTCCCTCCCTCAATGTGATGGCATGCTCCTGCTCTCTAGGTGGTGGCAACCTTAGAGGTGGTTGAAAAACCTTATAGAATTCCTGGATCAAAGGCTGTACAGAGAGGGGTATGTCTCCCCCTTCCTCACAACTCACTCCCTCCAATCTGTGTAATTCCACCAAATAGCCTTCCCCCTTCTCCTGAATTGTCTTGATTAGGGATTTAAGAGAAACCCCTGCCTTGGTCAGCCCCGCATCACCTTGAATCACCCTCAGAGTACCCCAATTGAGCTTGGTTTCTCCCAAGGTCTACAACCACTTCATCCCTAGGATGACATCCGTATTCCCCAATTCTAGGGGAAGGAAGTCTTCCTTCACTTGGATACCTTGGATCTTCAACACCACCCCTCTACAGACTCCTCTTCCCATTTCTACCTTCCCCGTGCCCATCATCACCCCATATCCTCCTGTATCTACTAACTCCATCCACAGCAGCTCCACAATCTGGGTGGAAATGAAATTGTGGGTTGCCCCACTATCGATCAAAACCACAACTTCACGGTCAGCTATCTCTCTTTTCACCTTCATAGTGTGACTCGGAGTGAATCTCACTACGGAGTTAAGAGAGACTTCTGCCACATCCAGATTAAGCTTTTTCTCCTCCACCTCAGAACCGCTCTCCCTTCCCTCTTCATCTTCCTCGTCTTCACAAACGAGGAGAACTTGAAGAGTTCGATCCTTGCACTTATGCCCTGGCATGTATTTCCCTCTTCTCTTGTATTTCCTTCTCAGTAAGTTTCTTGAACTGCCCCCCATTTCCTCCTGTTGTTTTTTCCTTCGGAACTTCTTTCATCCCACCTGTAGACGCTCCCTTGGAGGCTAGGTGGGTAGTTGTCCACCTGTAAGTGCCTCCTGAGCTGCTATTCCTAGCTCCCTTCACCATATTCTTTTGATTTTCTACCAGCTGTGCAAGCTTCATGGCCTCCCCCAGGTCCCTGGGCATCAGGACCTGCACCACTGCTCTAACATCTGCCTTTAACCCCTTCATGAAATTCCCCTCCAGCATGATATCGGACAAGCGCTCTACCCTGCTGGACAAATGCTCAAATCTCTCTCGGTAATCTGCCACAGACCCCTCCTGCACTAGGGCAAAGAACTGCTCGTAGAAGTCTCATCCACAGTCGGTTTGGAAACGCTCCATCAAACTGTCCTTGAATTCTTCCCAGCTCCGAATGGGTCTCCTCTGATCTCTCCACTGGTACCAAGAGAGAGTCTTCCCTTCCAGACATAAGCCCGCTGCTGATAATTTCTCCTCATCCGTTAAGCCATTAACGGCAAAGCACCTATCCACTTTATAAATCCACCCATAGGCGTCCTCCCCTTCAAAAATGGACATTTTTAATTTCCTCACCTTCTGATCCCCTCCATTTCCCCTTAATCCTCCATAATTTCCCCTCTCCCATGTGCCTTGGCCCCCCCATGTCTCCCGTTCTTCCCTGGCTCTACCATGCCCCAATCCCCCTTCAAGATCCCCTCTCCGATCGTCAAAAAAAGCCCCCTGAAGTCCATAATAACCCCCCCCCCCACCCCCCGGTGCTCCCAACCAGCACCTCTTAGCTCCATGGCCCTGCCTTTCCCGAATATCAAGTGGACCCCACCCCCTCCTCTCTCCTAAGTGCCGCCGGCCCCCTCCTGCTGTAAACAAATTGAACCAGCCCATGGGACTGGGCCAGCTGGTTCGGTCTAACAGGCGACAAGCAATTAAAATAGTCCACAATAACCAATCATAAAAGGCAACAATGGAAAGTAATTAATAACGATAACAATGACACCTACGCATGGACAACAAGGCAAAATACAACAATGGGACAATTGCAATAGAAATCAATGGAAATAACAATTTATAACCAGCCAATGACTTTAAACCTCATAGGTGTTGATGAGAATTCAATGGGCATAGTTCAAACCATGCAGTAACAAATTAGACTTGATAGACTTATCAAAATACCAGAGAGCCATATTGTTTGTAAACAAATCGATATCATTGGCATGCTTTTACACTTGAACTAAGAAATAAAAATTAAGATTATCATTTCAAAAACTCCAAGGGATGAGCTACGATTATTCTTAGCTCACAAATATAAAGATAAAGCTAATCATCTCCTATTGTCGAACTCACACATGCACACTTCCAATGGCTTAATTTTAAACCAAAAGACCAAGTTGAGATCAAGTTGGATGTCTCTCCATTTCGACAAGCTTAAGGGCTAAACTGATCAAATTATTAGTTCAACAGACCAAAGGATAGAGCTTATCATATATATTTCACATGCTCTTGGAACATAGCGTACACTAGCATATACTAAATCCGAGGATTGGATCAAGTTCTTCCTAGCAAACAAACCGAGGGTTACATTGACTGTGGATTTGAGAAGCCATAGTGACATAATGCAACCATGTAAATGTACACATATTAGTCCAATATGATTAAAGATTACATAGGCAATGTTAAGAATTCCCATGAGTGCCAAATTCATAGGGACAAAACATCTTGGTTTAATGAAAGTTAAGGCACCAACATGATCAATCCCATAGGGGCGCCCATTTTCATCAAGGTGTCGATTTATCCTCATTGCTATTAATTATTTCTCTAAGTAAGCTAAAGATAATTCCTCTAAAGGATGCCAAGAGAAACAAAATGATGCAATTCTTCCAAGATCACATCATATGTAGATTTTGAATCCTAAATTGGAATATATCAAACAAATGTACGGCCCTTAAGAGAGCTAAAAATGATAAATTCATGAAGCGCTAAAAGATAGATTGGTATTATTCCTTAATATATAATAGAAAAACTAATAATATGATTGAGGAATTCAATAAGACCCGAGTAAATTAAAAATAAAAGAAGAAATTCTATCCAAAAATGAAGTAGTTTGTCTTGACAAACAAACAAAAGCTCTGAGTCTATACCTCCACATATAAACTGTGATGCTGCTCACTCCATGCTTGTGTTTAGGACAATCAAAGTTGAGCTACCTTCACTTCAAATGGACTCACGCAAGAAGAAATCCAGCAAACTCCAGAAGAATTTGAAGCCCCAAACAAACTTAGGCTTCAAGCCAAACTAAAGTTAAAAAGCCACAAGGCAAGGCAACGAGGAACCAGCTCCTATGATTTTCCCTACAACCCTCAAAGTCTGTGAACTAGTCCTTGCGCCATGCAGATATAAAATTCCTTATCAACATATTAATAGTAAATTCAACCCGATTTGAAAGGGCTCTTCATATTTTAAAGATATATAGAGGAACATATAGGTTTGTCAATACAAAGAGTGAGATTTCTTAATCTTGTAAAATAAAAAACCTTGAAAGTTGAAAGCCAAATTATTTCTAATATTAATTGAATTCAACACAACAATAGTTGACCAAATCTAAACAAGGAGTTAAAATATTGGAGAGCGTAGCCCATTCTCAATAAGATCAACATCATAGGCATATTTTACACATGAGATGAACCAGGAACAAAACTAAGAATCAATGCACATGAATTGCATTCCCAATGGACAAGTCCTTCAAATTTCCGTCATTAGGAGTAGCTTCAAGCATAAGATCAAGGCTATTCATCCTTTTCAACATCATTAGAACTAGAAATACATACCATTTCATGCACTTACAAGATCATGTGATCATACATTGCATGAATGGTGAATTTCTTGATGCAAAGCATAGATGATGGGAAATTTGTGATTTCTTAGTATAATATATCTCAAACTATTTTCAAATACATAGGAGATCAAGTGATTTGAGAATTGGAAATATATGAGAAGAATAAATAATCTAAAAACAATTGATTGGAATGAGAAAGAATTGGTATTGTTTCCCATATTTGAGAAAAGAAAAAAAATTCCACCATATAGAGTCAAACTTCAAGATGATTGAAAACAAGAGAAAAAAGATAGTTGGACAACATTCCCTATTTAACAATACAGCAGATGGACAAGTGCGTGCTCACGCATATGTAATAAGGAGAAATATAGACAGGTTCTAACTCTCACACAGGGACACACATAAGGTCATTGATTTTCATGTGCTTGATGTTTGAGTTGACAGAGCACCACTTCAACAGAATGATTTCTGACCCATGGTCATTTAAAAGAAACATAACCTCTTTCATGGTCAATGACACAAAAACTAGATTCTATAAGCATGCATGAAATATGATAAATCGTGAACACAACAATTAAATAATGACAGGTTCTTTGAAATACAAAATCTTAACAGTTCAAGTAACCATGTACCTTTAATTTTTCCATTTGTACAAGCTTCAGAAGAAGAGAGGAGTAACTTCCCATTGTTCGAGTTGCTAGAAATACTCTGGTGAAGAGACAGCCCTAGATGCAACGACAAAAGAGAAAACATCATTAACAACAGTAAAATATATTTTACTGATAAATATGGCTCCTGAATAAGTGAACACACTACCAATGTAACATAGTTTCCTGCATGTATCAAACCTGATAAAAACTTTATGCAACTGATAACAGTATCAACAAAGGATAAAGGCACTCCACCAGAGTTCAATTTTGCCTTCATTTTAAGCAAGTAGTTCTGTTATAAGAATTGGAATATTGATATGAATCCACAGAAAAGATAAAAACAAAAGAGCTAAAAATCATTATTTAATAAAACCAACCTGATTGTCTTCACTCATAAAAGTGGCATTCTCCATGATCTTCAAAGACTTGAGGAGAAGGACAACACTTTCAAGGGAAGCACTATCACAATCTTTTGAAGCTAAAACTGAAGCAGATTTCTTTTTAAACCAACTCTGCAAAGTCAATTTTACTATTTTGTCACATATTTTTTAATATTAGATATTCAACTCAGAAATTTAAAATAGAAAAATGCCAAGATTTGTTTTTAGTCATGGGTAATAGTCCATATGAATGAAGTTCAAGAATAACTAGAGATAGAATGGTACAAAAACAAATACACTGAACAAAACATCAGGCTAAATTAGGTTGAAAGTCACGCTAAAAATTCCTATGTGAATTTGTTCATTTCAGCAACAATTTCAAAAAATTGGAACAAAATGTCAATATTTATATGTAATATTGTAACGTAGTTGTAACAATGGCAAATTAACTGAAGAAAAAAATTAAGGATGAACAAAATGTACATCCTCATGGTGTAGGGACGAGCTTTATGTTGATCCATTTTTTTAAACTTTCTACCAGAGAAGATTCTGAACTTCAAATAAGACTTTTTATGTTAGTGGCATCAATATCAATGTTACTCTGATCATGTAATACTTTTTTCCAATTTTTTAAATGGTGCAAATCAGTACTTTGTGTCGTACCTCTCCATTTTCTTTACAATTGGCATCGTGGATTAGTAAAGGCAAAGGGACAAGAGTTTATCAAATGATGGTGAAGCCACAGTTTATAACCATAAAAATAGTAGAAAATAAAAGCATGCAATCAGGATATTTGTCATCTTAGGAGAGATGAAGGTCCTAAAGAAGCGGCAACTTCAATGGAAGTTTTATGGTAGATGGCATCAAGATCCAGTCTCTTGGCTTAGGTTGATCTTACCACCCTATTTCCTGTCCTCACCAATACAAGATTGCTAATGTAAGCTCGAAAGCATAAGCTTGAACAAATCTATGCTTTATCACCAACTACATCAACTCCTTTATGAGGCCCCATGATAGACTAGAGAGAGGACGTAGAGATAAGAAAAAAGGGAAGCGACTTACATTTTTGTTCTCAAATAATGTATCTAGCAAAGGGAGGACATTCATGATATGCGTTTCAAATGTGAGGGAACAAAGAAAAATGACTAAAAAAATATGGACCAACATAAACTGCATCCTATGGAGGAGGAATGTCCCCACCCTCCTCCAATCATATCCCCTCCAGCCTTTGCAACTACACAAGGAAACCTTCCCCCATCTCATGTATGTTTCTCACCATGATTTTTAATAACACCATGGCTTTAGATAGTCCTGCATCTCCCCTGATCACTACACTTCTCCCCTCCACCACCAGCTCCATTTTCAATGCTCCCCAGTTGACCTTAATGTTCCTCAAGGTCTGTAACCACTTCATCCCCATGATGACTTCAGTGCTCCCTAGCTCCAATGAAAGAAAATCTTCCCTCACTTGAACCCCCTGTATGGTCATCACTACTCCCCTACAGATCCCTCGACCCGTCTCCATTTTCTCGTTCTCATCATCACTCCATAACAACCTGTCTCCACCAATGTTACCCCAAATTAGTCCATGACCTGGTTAGAAATGAAATTGTGACTAGCTCCGCTATCAATCAACACCACCACCTCCCTGTCTGTTATTTCCCCATTGACCTTCCTGGTATGACTTGGGGTGAATCATGCCACTTAGTTCAAGGAGACCTCTGCCGCATCAAGATGCAGCTTGTCCTCCTCCTCTTCCCCATTCTCCTTCCCACCTCCCTTAGTTTTCTTGTCATCACGGACGGTGAGAACCTGAAGAGTTTGGTCCCTGCACCTATGCCATGGAGTATACTTCTCATCACATCGGAAACATAATCCCTATGCCCTCTTCTCTTGCATCTCCCTCTCCGTTAGCCTTTTGAAGTTCCCCCCACTTCTTCTATGGGCTTCTCCCTTAGGGTCTCACGAACAGTGCCCGATGAAGGAATTTTTATTGCCTCGGGTTACCTGATGCAACGCTACGTTCGGTATGGCTTAAAGACGCGACACCTGGCAGCTGCCTTTACTCGTAACCCGACCCGACGAAGATTGGGTATATTGCACGTGTGAAATTTAAATTTGATGGCCAGAGCAGCGGACCCAAAAAATATCCCGCGGACCCGAAAATGACGTATAATTTTCAAACAAAGATTACCGTCTTTCACTTCAGTCATCATTTTGTTGCATATACTTCATCTTCTTCCATCAGTGTTTCTTCTTCTTGCGATCCTTCTTCTTCTTTCAAATTTCAAGGTCTTCGTATTTTCATCTCCTTCCAAGTTCCAAGCTCTCACTATTTGTGTTTACAATGCCACATGTTAGTTCTTTTTTTATAAACAATGCATCCTCTTCTTCCTTTTAAATGTTTAGGGTTAGGTTTTACCAAGTTAAACTCCTATACCTGCTCCGGCAGATTTAAAAACTCATTACCGAGCGGTACCGAGCATTACTAACAGTCGATACTACTCGGTATTGGCCATTAATGGTTGGTATAAGCTTAGGTAAAAACTCTGACTGCTCGGTACCGAGCAGTACCGAGCTTTACTAACACTTGGTACAACTCGGTATTGACCATTAATGTTCCGTATAAGCTTAGCTAAAAGCTCGGTATTGCTCTGTACCGAGCAGTAACTGTTCTGTACATTCCTACAACTCGGTAAAGCTCGGTACTGCTCGGTACAGAGCAGTACCGAGCTTTTAGCTAAGCTTATACGAAACATTAATGGCCAGTACCGAGTGTTAGTAAAGCTCGGTACTGCTCGGTATCGAGCAGTCAGAGTTTTTACCTAAGCTTATACCAACCATTAATGGCCAATACCGAGCAGTATCGACTGTTAGTAATGCTCGATACCGCTCGGTAATGAGTTTTTAAATCTGCCGGAGCAGGTATAGGAGTTTAACTTGGTAAAACCTAAACCTAAACATTTAAAAGGAAGAAGAGGATGCATTGCTTATAAAAAAAGAACTAACATGTGGCATTGTAAACGCAAATAGTGAGAGCTTGGAACTTGGAAGGAGATGAAAATACGAAGACCTTGAAATTTGAAAGAAGAAGAAGGATCGCAAGAAGAAGAAACACTGATGGAAGAAGATGAAGTATATGCAACAAAATGATGACTGAAGTGAAAGACGGTAATCTTTGTTTGAAAATTATACGTCATTTTCGGGTCCGCGGGATATTTTTCAGGTCCGCTGCTCAGGCCATCAAATTTAAATTTCGCACGTGCAATATACCCAATCTTCATCGGGACGGGTTACGGGTAAAGGCAGCTGCCAGGTGTCGCGTCTTTAAGCCATACCAAACGTAGCGTTGCGTCAAGTAACCTGAGGCAATAAAAATTCCCGATGAAGGCCCCTTAGGTGCTAAGAGAGTGGTGGTCATCCTATAGGAGCCACCTAAACTGCTGCCTCTAGTTCCCCTCTCATGGTACTTTTGATCATCCACCAATTGAGCTAACTCCATAACCTCTCCCAAGTCACGTGGTCTCATGACTCTCACTGCTACCTGTATCTCTGATTTGCGCCCCTTCATGAAATTCTTCCCCAAAATAGTCTCAAACAGCCAATTGATAGGAAATACATAAATATTTCAAGTAAACCCTAACAAGCATGATGAAAACAACGAGAAATTTCACAAATTTAATGAAAAAATAGCAAAACAGTAGTTTTTTTATGGTAGAAATCAAATAACGGAAGAAAATAAGCAAGATACAATTGATCCTCAATTCGAGAGGAGGATTGTTCTCTCCCAATCCCTAGACGAATCTAAAGCCCAAGACACCAAGACAAAAACTCCAGAAATCAGCCACCAAAATAAAGCATAAGCCTAACCCTAAACAACCCCTACTATTAATACCTTAATTCCCTAATTCAAATTTTCCCTCCCATGCTTACCCCCCCCCTCTTCCTTTATTTGGCCCACTTGTTTGGCCGGAAACATCAAAGAAGGCGGCTTTTGTCTGCCTCCTATAAACAAGAGCTAGCCTTTGGGCTAGTTCAGGCTGAACCACTCCAACACCGATCCAGTCGACTCGCCAGGTACTAAAATCACTCGCGATATTTTGCCACCAAGCCTTCTTGTACTAGGGCAAAGAATTACTCATAGAATTCTCCTTCCATGTTGGTTCGAAAACGTTCCAATAAGCATTCTTTGAACTCCCTCCAGCTCCTTATGGGCCTTCTCATGTCTATCCACCGGTACCAAGCCAACGCCTTCCCTTTCCAAACATAGGTCAACTGCCATTAATTTCTTCTCATCCGTCAACCCATTAACGGCATAGTACCTCTCTACCTTGTATATTCACCCATGTGCATCCTTCCTTTCAAAGATGGGCATCTTCAATTTTTGGACCTTCGAATCTCCCCCATTTCCCCTGAATCCTCCATAATTTTCCCTTTCCCAAGTGGATGGCCCTCCCCAAGTGTCTCAATCCTCCATGCCGCATTCATACCCAAACCCTTCTTCCATCCCCCCCCTTTCTTTCATCAAATCAGCACCTCTTCGGCCATAATCCCCTTCTTTCCTTTCTCAATCAGCACTCCTTTGCCCATACCCCACAACTCTTCCCATATCTTCCACCCACAATCTCCACCTCATTTCCCTCCATACGAAATTGAGAATTTGTATTTTTTTTCTTTCTGGCCCTCTCGCCTCCGACACCGTTATTTGGTTGTGGAGATCAAACAACTTCTTCACCATGTCACGTAGGTCAAAGAATTGCTCCTCAATGTAGCAAATTTTTTACTCCACCGTTCTTTTGATTTAGTTCATCTCCCCCCTCAAGCCGTTCTTTCAAAGCATCCACCTTCTTAACCGCCATTAATACCCTAATTTTTGTTAGACAAATAAATTTAGAACCAAAAACTCACTATTTGGAAGAAAACAAAACTGCTACAGGAAAACGCCACAAGATAGCCCAAAATAGCCCGTAAAGTGGCTTTGATACCAATTTCATAGGAACGCTTGTAGTTTTCAAGCGAAACTTATCAATCTTGGGAAATCAGCGAGAAATCTCCACAAAACTCCAAGAAAAATCAGAAAAATAGATATTTTGTATTATTTGATGAAAGGAATCGAAAAATACCAAGATACA